GGCTGCATCCCCTCCTGGCTCCTCGTGCCCCCCAGCCTCCTCGCTGGCAGGGCGGCCTGAGAAGCTGGGAAGTCCTTGACTTGGAGTAAGCACTGCTGAGCCACTGCTGAGCCACTGCTGAGCCACTGCTGAGCCAGCAGCGCATTATCAGCGTCGTGCTCGTCCTAAATACAAACCACAGCTCTGTGCCAGCTACGAGGAAGAAAATTGACTCTATCCCAGCCTAAACAAGAACATGAGCCTCGAATTAACTCTGTCCTGCTTCTCTCCTTTCCTGGCTCAGAGCGGTGCGGAGGAGCGGAACCAGGGGGTGGCGGGGCAGCCCCCATCGCCAGTACCAGCCAGAGCTCGCTGCTGCCCACGGGCCTCATCCAGTGAGTCAAGGAGCCGCTTGCGACCTCTTGCTGTCCCCTCGCCTCTGATTGCGCCAGGGCTGTACGTGCTGTGCCATGCAGAGTGGTGGCTGTGACACCCCGGTGACATCCCACCAACACCCTCCTCGGGAGCTGCCTGCCCCTGCCCTGGGTGGGTGCCTGCCAGGGGCCCGTCCCCATGTCCCACGCAGAGAGCAGCACCGGCCCAACCCCACACGAGCTGTGCAGGTGGTATGAGGTGCAGACACTGGGACAGGGGGTCCGGCTGGTCCCACCCCAGCTCCCCCGCCCCGCTGGAGCTCCGGCACCTCCCTGCCTCTGCAGGGTAAGGATGGGGGGGCAGTGGGAGGGACTGGTGGGGCAAAACCGTTTCCTATCACTGTCATCGGGAAAAAGCCATCGGTCCTCCATGCCCTCCCCATCCTCGAAGCTGCTGTTGTTTTTAAATCAGCTATTTTAATTCTGGAGACTGTTTTTATTCTGGGACGTACCAAACTGTGACGTGGAGCAAAAGCGAGTTTCAAGGATGCTGGTGCTGCCCTCCAAGCCCAGGGGTGTGCTGCAGCTCTCAACCCCCGGCTGCTGGGGGATGAATATCTGTGGGTTTGCTCCTTGCTGATCCCTCTTCGTCTGTGGGCCGGGCCGTCCCCCCATGTGTGCAGCCCCTCTCCTGCTCCTGCCAGGCACCCGAGGGGACAGGCACCGTGACACCAGCTTGTGTTGCCTTGCTGTGACATGGGTGCACGAAGCAATGGCACTGTCAGGCAGTGGGGCTGGGGCGGGCAGGGCTCAGGGGAAAGCAGTTTTCCTGAACTGCCCATGGCTGATGCCCCCGTAAGGAGGGTGTAATAAAGCAGTAATTGCAAGTGAGTCAGCACGATTGCTGCCTTCCTTCGGGGAAAGCTTTTTCTTTTTGTGTGAGAAGGAAAAATTAAACTCTAATTTCTGGGTGCTGCTGAGCAGACCAAGGAAAAGAAACTGAAACCAGGCTCAGGCTGCCAGGTTTCTCCGTGCCTGAAGGGACACTCCGGCACGGCTCCTCCTGCCAAAGGTTTCACAGGGGCAGCAAAGGTGCCCGGGAGCCACAAAACTGCCAGGGCTGACAGGTCCTGCCGCTGGAGGAGTGTTTGTTTCTGGGCGGTGAGTTCCCCCCTGCACCAGCAGCAGCATTGGCAGGACTGGAAGGGCACACGCCCTCTCCTCCCGTCCATCCGTCCATCTCCCCAGACACGGAGTGACCAGCGCGGGGACGAAGCACACTCGACCCATTTCTCTTCCCATCGTGCGGCCGCTGGCTGCAGCCCTGCGCTGAGCGAGGTCGGGCTGTGAAAGCGGAGAGGAGCCCAGCGAGACCATGGCAGGACGGGGCTCAGGTGAGCCCCTGCCCGGAGCGAGAGTGGGAAAGGAGTGGGGTGAGGGGGTCAAAAGGGCCGGTGGTGTGTAAATAGCCTGTGTGCTCCAGCCCATGTGTGCTCCAGCCTGTGTGTGAGCGCTAGTGAAGGTCGGACCAGCTCGGTCCCGGGTGGATGCGGGGACAGGGTGACAGCCGTGTCCCCACTTTTGGTTGTTGGATCCAGCAGGATGGATTTTCTTCCAACACACTTGCCCGCCCCACCGCTGCTGACAGGCCCCATCCTGCGTCCCCGGGCACCTTACAGAGGGGTGAAACACCCCCCGGCTGCTGACAGAGCCCCTCTCCAGCAGCCTGAGGAGCCCCTTTGCAGGTGTTTGCTGGGTGCGTTATCACAGCTGCTCAGAGACCAGATGGGAACGAGAAACGATGGATTGTGGCCCGAGGGACGTTTCCCTTCAGGCGGTGGTGGGGGTTGGTAAATGTCCCCCCCCCAAAGTGGAAAAAAAGAGGGGCTTTGCTGGAGATCTGGGCTCAGGAGGAAGAGAAGGGGGCTGAGCTGCAGGCCCGTCCCC